GTTGGGTAATAGATTCTGGTTGCAATGAACATATTGTTAACCAAAGTTCACTGTTGGATGTCGAGTTGGACTCTTCTCCAGCTCTGCAGGTTAAAATTCCCAATGGGACAGGCGTTAAGGTCCATAGTATTGGGACATCAAAGTTATCTAGTGACTTGTCTTTACGTCGCGTACTTCACGTACCGGATTTTCAGTGCAACTTGCTCTCTGTCAGCAGACTTACAGCTGATCTACCAGTGGCACTTATATTCTTGAGCGATTTCTGTGTAATTCAGGACTTACCATCCAAGAGGCTGATTGGGATGGGTAAGCATGTTGATGGGCTCTACTATTTGCGGATTCTTGAAGCTGGTCATGCTATGGCGCATTCTGTACGTCGTTCCTTGGATCAGACGGAGCTGTGGCACGCACGGCTTGGACATCCGTCTATGGGAAAGCTCACTCATCTGGAAAAGGTTCTTGATTGCTCTTTTGTTCAGAATAAAGAGCCGTGTCGATCTTGTTTGCGTGCTAAGCAGACTCGCACTACTTTTGAGCTTAGTAGCATAAAGACAACATCATGTTTTGAACTTATTCATGTTGACATTTGGGGTAGCTACAAAACTGCCTCTACTTCTGGAGCACACTATTTTTTGACGATAGTGGATGACTTTAGTCGTGCCGTTTGGGTATTCTTGCTGCGTTACAAGAGTTATGTGGGTAGACATTTATTATACTTTTGTAACTTGGTGCGGAATCAGTTTGGGCGGCAGGTACGAAGGATTCAAGCTGACAATGGTCCGGAATTCTCTAGTGCTCAGCTTACAGCTTATTATGAACAGGAAGGGATCATTTTGCAGACCTCGTGCACGGACACTCCACAGCAGAATGGCGTCGTGGAGCGAAAGCATCGTCACCTCCTTGACACTTCTCGCGCCCTCCAATTTCATGCGAACTTGCCCATCAAATTTTGGGGTGCGTGCGTTATGACAGCAGCGTATCTCATTAATCGCATGCCTTTGGTTCCCATTGGCCATCGGTCGCCCTTCCAGGTACTCTTTGAGAAGGAGCCTAAGTACGATCATCTTCGGAGCTTTGGCTGCCTGGTTTATGCTCGTGACAATCATCACAGTTTACAAAAATTTGGCGCACGAGGGAGGGCTGGCGTGTTCATGGGTTATCCTTCCACTCAACGTGGATATCGTGTCTATGATCTCGAGACGCTTCACATTTACACGCCTCGTGATGTTCAATTTCTTGAACATGTGTACCCATATCGGGATGTTTCGAAAGGAACTACTCCGACGCCTGAGTCTGTGTCCGTGCCTACTCGTGGGACTCCTTTCGATTCGGTTGATTACAGGCCATCATTTTATGATGATGATGATGATGATGAGCTAAGTTCTTCACCCATTTCTGTTCCTCAGCAAGTTTTGGAACCCCCTGCTGCTTCTCTCGAAACAGAAAGTCCACCCGAAGATCCCATCTTGCCTTGCACACCAGCGGCAGTTGGGGACAGCTCTCCAAGCTCATCTACAACGCCACCTCCTTCGGACAGCACGTCTTCATTATTGTCACCTGTCATGCCTCATACTGGTCCGGTCGAGCCCCCTCCGGTCGAGGCCCCTCCTCCTCGTCGCGGCGACCGAATTCGGTTCCCTTCCACGCGACTGGCTGGTTTTGAGGTGGATCTTCAAGGTGCTGCTCATTCAGACACAGTTCTCTACCCTCTAGATGATTATGTTACATATCATCGGTTATCCCAAGCACACCATGCCTTCGTCGCCGCTATAAGTGCTGAGGATGAGCCATTGTTTTTCCATCAAGCCGTTAGATACAAGCATTGGCGTGACGCCATGCAGCGAGAAATTTCTGCTCTCATTGCTAATGGTACGTGGTCTCTAGTTGATTTACCTCCCGGTAAGAAGGTGATCCTATGCAAATGGGTCTACAAGATAAAGTTCAATCCTGATGGTACTGTTGAACGGTACAAGGCTCGCCTTGTTGCGAAGGGGTTCATGCAGGTTGAAGGGATAGACTATCACGACACATTTGCTCCTGTCGCAAAGCTGGTCACTATTCGTTGTTTGCTGGCGGTTGCAGTTGCTCGTGGTTGGCATATCCACCAGCTTGACGTAAACAACGCTTTTCTCCATGGAGATTTAGACGAGGAAATTTATATGGCTCTCCCGCAAGGCTATGGTAGTCCTGGTGAAACGCGGGTGTGCAAGCTCCACAAATCCATCTACGGGCTATGTCAGGCTTCTCGTAGCTGGTACCAGAAGTTCACACAAGCTCTTCTGGCCTTTGATTTTGTTCAAAGTCGTGCGGAGCACGCATTGTTTACCTACCAGCATGGTTCTAGCTTTGTGGTTGCACTCATATATGTGGACGATGTCATTCTGGCTGGCAACGAAATGGACTTTATTGGTCGTGTCAAGACATATCTTCACGATCGGTTTACCATCAAAGATCTTGGCCCTCTCAAGTATTTTCTCGGGATTGAGGTGGCTCGCTCTCTGCGAGGTATGGTTCTTAACCAGCACAAGTACGTTTTGGATATTTTGGCAGATGCAGGTCTTGAGGGTGCCAAGCCGGTTCTCACTCCCATCGAGCAGCCGCATCACAACGGCCGCACGGATTCTCCCCTGGCTTCTGATCCTAGTGCTTATCGCCGTCTGGTTGGACGGCTTCTCTATCTTACGATCACACGACCGGACATCGCTTATGCTGTTAATGTCCTCAGTCAGGCAATGCAGGCTCTTACCAAAGCACATGAGGATGCGGTTGTTCGTGTCCTTCGGTACCTCAAGTCTGCTCCTGGTCGTGGCATATTTCTTTCGGCCTCAGCTCCTCTTACTTTGACTGCTTTTTATGACGTGGACTGGGGTGGTTGTCCGTTGACACGACGCTCCACGACTGGCTATTTCATTACCCTTGGTGGCTCTCCTGTTTCTTGGCGCACGAAGAAGCAGACAGGTGTGGCTCGCTCTTCAGCTGAGGCTGAGTATCGCTCCATGGCCAGTACAGTTAGTGAAGTCCTCTAGCTACGTTGGCTTCTCCGTGACCTAGTTGTCGCCCTTACCTCTCCTACCCCGCTGCATTGTGATAACCAAGCAGCGCTTCACATTGCTGCTAATCCGGTTTTCCACGAACGTACTAAACACGTGGAGATGGACTGTTATTTTGTGCGTGAGCGTGTGCAGTCTGGTGATGTTGCTCCCGCGAAGATTGCTACTGCAGATCAGCCTGCTGATTTGTTTACGAAGGGTTTGAGTGTTGCTCAGTTTCATCATCTCTTCGTCAAGCTTGGACTTCTCGACATTCACTCCTTCGCTTGAGGGGGAGTGTTGGGGACCCTTTTGTAATAGTTTATTACCTAGGGTACCATTCTCCGAGAGCTTGCTCTCCGTGGATTAGTCCCGTTCCAGTTGAACGGAGATACCACGTAAATCCTGGTGTTGTGCATTTGTTTTCTTTCTGCTGCTATCGATTTTTACACGAAACATCGCAAGCATCCGATCAGATGATTCATGATTGTAAGAATTTTAAGAACGCCCATATCGATGGTGTTGTAAGCACCTTATTCGAATTCCACAAATATTGGTGGCAATTGGGAACTTTACTAAAAACGAGGTGATAAAGCATTTAAAAAAAATTAGATCTACCCTTTACAATATTTCATGTTGCCCTGCTGCTGCAGCTAGCTTACACATTTTCCATTAATAAATAGGGTTAATTGCATGGTTGGTCACTGAGATTATAAAAAATGTTCAAGTTTGGTCACTCGAAAATCGAAATATTTAAATCCATTGGTGGTACTTCGGTTTACTGAAACCGTTCACGTTTGGTCAATCTCCATCCAACTCCGTTATCTTTGGCTAATGTGGCAGTCAACTCTCAAAGTTGACCGTTAACTTAGTGACGTGGCAATTAAGAAATGATAAATAAAATAAAATTTAATCTATTTTAATGTCCAACTCATTTTTACCATAAAATAAATAAATAAAATAAAAAATATTATAATTATTAATTACCAAATTAAAAGAGGTGCACGACAGAGTAGAAGAGATGGGGGAAGGGATCTAGTTAGTAACTTGGTTGACTATTGAGCATAAAAAAACATTTTTTTTAATTAAATTTAATATGTTATATCTCTCATTAAGTTGAAATTTAATATTTTTTACACAAAAAATAAAATTAATCATGTCATTCAAAATAACATCCACGTTGATATATTTAGGAACAGAAAAAAATATGAGAAAAATATCATCAACCTATACATAGTGATCATAATATGATCATAATGCCTAGTAATAAATAAGATTATATAATGATAGTATGAAAGTGTAGCATGGTGATGGTATGAATATCTCATAACTAGTGTATAATGATTGTATACATGATTTTATTAATATACTAACCACCTGTTACCATCTTATACCAGAATAGTATACTTGGTCTTGGAAATTATTTCTACAAATTCGTAGATCACAATGAACTAATTCAAAATTTTAGTTAAAGACAAAGGTGATACACAGTAATACAGATGATATCAAGATAGTAACGGGTGGGACAGATCAAAGAATCAAATCTAATTATACACAAGTGTATAAGAAAGGGCTATGCAACATTCTCTGTAACAAGAGAAGGGAGGTTGGCCTTTCGAAAAAAACATTCAATCTGAAGGCATCGGATCATAAAATAATACCATTTATGCTTGGAGGAAAAAATAAAGCAAATTAGCTGGATAAACTTTATAATTAATCACAATGCAAACTCAAATCTTTGTATTATTACATCTCAAGTTCTTATAAATATACTCCCATGCTGAGATAAGAGTTCCCACAAACCAGTAATCTCTCTTACTCAGAGCTAACAAAATGAGAGACTTAAAGATGGCTATCAGTAATATGCAGTTGAGCTTAGCACTAGCAGCCCTCGTCTTCTCACTATCCTACTACTGGTTCTGCCACCGGAGGAGCCGCAAATGCCGCGCCGGAAAACTCCCACCGGGGTCGATGGGCCTACCGATCATCGGAGAAACTCTTCAGTTCTTCGTTCCTTACACCTCCACCGACATCTCACCTTTCATCAAGAAGAGAATACAAAGGTACTTAATTAGTATACGTAATCAATGGCGGACCTAGGAATTTGAGTGAGGGGCTGATTTGCATCGTGATGATTGAGGGACAGGGGATAAAATCTTACCAATTACTCTATTTTTTAAATTTGTTCTGAATATTACGTATAATTGTCGCTATATTGTAAATTTAACTACTCTTGACTTCAACCTACCTTCTTCACTGTATGTAATATTTGTACATACGTACCAATAGTTTGAACGTTCGAACATGAATCTATAATTTTTCAGGTACGGTCCAGTATTCCGAACAAGTATAGTCGGGCATCCGATTATCGTATCGACGGACCCAGAGCTAAACAGCCTGGTGTTCAAGCAAGGTGCGGACTCGTGGTTCAAGCCATGGTACACAGACAGCTTCAGCGAGATCATAGGCAGCGAGAGCCTAATGTTTCACGAGGGGTTTCTGCACAAGTACGTCAGGGGCTTGGTCCGGGAAGGGTTCGGACCGGACAGCCTGAAATCGCTGCTGGTTGATCTCGAGGGACGGACCAAGAGTCACCTTGGCTCCTGGTCCGTTCTACCTAGTGTAGATTTGAAAGAAGTTGTTTCTGCGGTATGTTTTTTTTTTTTTTCTTTTCCTCCTATTTAAGGGAGTCGAATTTGTTACTTCCATATTAAAGATCAGTAATAGTACTACTAGATCAAACGCTGCAAGGCTACATGGATGGTTTTCGTGTTAAACCGTTACAATCTTGCCCTTTGCAGATGCTCCATGGCTTTGCCGTGGAGAAGCTGTACAGCTTCAGCGACCCAGAGATGATAAGGGGACACAAGCAGTCGTACGATGCTTTTCTCCGTGGACTGATCTCGTTCCCTCTCAACATTCCCGGCACCGCTTACTGGAAGTGTTTGCAGGTCTGGTTGCATAAGGATTTAGTCTTTGTTTATTTCGCAATGTTTGAGTTATTGGTACCAACTGATTGTCTTTATTCGATCAGGGACGTAAGTGGGCAGTTAAGACTATCAAGAAGCTGATGGACGAAAGGAGAGAATCCCCCAGGATGGGAGAAAGGGATTACCTTGACTTCGTGATGGAAGAGATTGACAGCGGTGAAAGCCCTTTGACAGAGAAGATGGCTACGGATTTACTGTTCCTGCTTCCGTTTGCTGCATTTGAATCTACCTCCTCCACCATTGTCTCTGCGTTTCACTACTTGACTGCGCATCCTGCAGCACTCGCAGAGCTCACTGTGAGGCATTAATTAACTATTCATTATTATTGAGATGCTAACCTAATTTGATTCCCTTTTGGTTGTTGTCTTTTCCTATGTAACCGACAATTTACCACATTGTTCAGAGGGAACATGAAGCTATTCTGAAACGAAGGGAAGAGAGTGGATCAGTAGGAATCAGTTGGAGAGAGTACAAATCTATGACTTTTACCCACATGGTATTAATCTCTACAAAATTAGGCTCCTTCTGCAAACGCTCATAAAAAAAAAAACATAATATTCCTTATTGCCTATTCATTAATAAATGAATCTGTTTAAAAATTTCCATGTTCGTATTTCATTTTTTTTTTTTATAGGTCACCAACGAGACATTACGGCTTACGAATATAGTCCCTGGAATTTTCAGGAAGGTGATGAAAGATGTTGAAGTGAAGGGTAAGTAACTCTTTTTTTTTTTTTTTTTTTTTCTCTCTCTTTGGAATTGCTTTTTTCATGACCATCAAAAATGGCGTGTAATTTTGAAATTTTGGGCAGGATACTTGATTCCGGCGGGATGGACGGTGATGGTATATCCAACTGCGGCTCACCTGAACCCTTCTGTATACGATGATCCTTTGAGCTTCAATCCATGGAGATGGGAGGTATGAGTTAGGGTTTCTGGTGTAATTACATCCAAAACCGACTTTCGTCACAAAGTTATGAGTAACTATATATGTAAATTGTTCCATCACCATTGCATTAATTAACTACGTTGAGAATTGAGATGGATCGACAGGGCCAGAAGGTAAATTCAGGATCGGAGAATTTCATGGCGTTTGGAGGTGGGACTAGATTCTGTTCGGGAGCAGAGTTCGTCAAGCTTTGCATGGCCATCTTTTTCCACCACCTCGTCACAAAGTACAGGTACGTGCAATTTGATTAGCCAGCTTCCCTAAAATAGTAGATGTATAAGGAGTATAATTAACGACTAAATGGCTGTTTAATGTAATGGACTTGACTGGTTAATTTTCAGTTGGGATGCGGTGAAGGGAGGTGAACCTGTTAGATACCCTGGATTGATATATAAAGATGGCTTCAACGTCAATATTTTCGAGAAGCACCATCATCAAAAGTGAAGAAGAAGAAGAAGAAGAAGAAGAAGAAGAGTCTCCGTTCGTCTCTACTCGTAGTATGTTGGAAGGTGTGGCAAGTTGTTTATTTCGGTCCAGAAACCAGAATAATTTGGTTTTGGCTTCATACTTGTCATTCAAACGAATTGGGTGCTCGATTTTTTCGAGGCACTTCCAATTTATTGAATTGGTATCTCAACTCTCAAGTCTTACTTCGGTCTTTCTTTGATAATGTAAAAGCATGGAATAAAAATATAAAATATCGAAAATGAAAATCTATAAAGGCCCTGTTTGGATGAGAGTTTTTACGAGGGATTTTAAAACAATCCCTCGGGATGAGAGATTTTAACACAATCACTTGTTTGGGAGAGGTTCAAATGATAAGAGATTTTAAATATTAGAGATTTAGAAAACCTTTAATCGCGGGTTTTCCAAATAGCTTATAAACATCAGCTATTTCGAAATCTCTCGTTTTATTTTTTCGTTTTCCAAATGTTACACTTCCATCCTTCATCCACAGGTTTGCCACTACCCTTCCTCTCCCGCCGGCGATCTGTCGTTATTATTTCCACACTCATTCAACAGTCGCTCATCTTCAAGAAGTCGTCCATCCAACCGCCGTTATCTGTCCCTCTACACTTAATCCGTTTCCAGAATCCGGCTTCACCATCAAATCTGAGTTCTGCAACCTCTTCTCCTTCTCCATCGTCTGATTCTTGCGTCGGCATCAACCAACATATCTTGTGCCGGCTTCACCACCATTGTTGCGCCGGAAATCGTTTCCACGGGGCGGACGCCTCTCCCACGAGCAAATATGTTGCTCCCGTCCTCCAATTGCAGACTGCGATTCTGGGGCGGTGGTGCTTTGCTCCAACGTTGCAGCTCCGTTAGAGGGAAAAGGAGAAGGGAAAATCGACGGGAATGGCGGCTCTGGGCAGACGAGATAGGCTCTGGGAAGGACAAATTGACGGGTCTTTGCTTGGAGGGAGGCTAGGTAGACGAAGAGGGTAGGGGGAAGGGCAAATCGACTGGAAGGGCGGCGTTGGTCTTTAATTGTAGGGGTGGTGACTGACTGGTGAGGTAGACGAAGAAGGGGAAGGGTGGCTTTGGGGGGATGAGGTAGACGAATGGGGTTAGAGGAAGGACAAATTTGACTTTTACTTTTTGTGGTAAAAAAATCGCAGATCCTTAAACAAACAAGTAATTTTGCTAAATCTCTCACAAATCTCTTATATTAAAATCCTGGGAATTTAGTTGAGGAATTTGGGATCAAATCTCTCGCTTTAAAATTCTGGATCCAAACGACCCCAAAATATAATAAACACTTTTCAGTATTTAATTCACTGTTCAATCTCGACTCTCACCCTCACGGTTCACAGCTAACAGTATGCATCAATCTCAACTACATATGCATCAATCTTACTGTGATTTTGTCTATATCTATCTTCCTGCACACCACTGTTACGAGACGAGACATCGTAATGATATGAAAATTTCCAGCCTCGTCTAATTTATTAATAAATTTGTATTTTATTATTGTTTGGAATATTAAGTGTTGTTTATTGTTTTCATTATTCTAGAAGGATTATGATTGTTATTAGTATTGGTTTAGGATTTGGTTATTATTTCCATGTGGGAGAAGTATTCATGTTTTAGATAGGAGAAATGAGATATTTTATGCCTATATATAAATATGTACTTGTTAATTCGTTTAATGTCATGAGAAGATTGGAACCCAAATAGCTTTCTTATGGTCTTTCTTTTCTTGCCAACTTCTTTGTTTCTTTCGAGTGTTTGTTCAATTTCTTTCAAATATTCGTTCTATTTTGTTCTATTTTAATTCCTTAGTTCGTGAAGCTAGGAAAATTTACGTAACAACCACCTTTATCTAAGTTGAAATATTAGTTTAATACATATTTGCTTTTTTTCTGTTTTCTTTTCCTAGTCATCCAATCTAAATGTGTCAATTAGGACACTCTCTCTTCTTTTCCAATTCTCCTATTCTTAATCTTTTCGTATTTATTTCATTTCAACTTCGAATTTTGATGTTTTCTATGAGCTTGACGCAACAATTTCCATTTTTCTATATGTTCAAAGAAGAAAATGACAAAGACATTGCTACAATCACATATTAACATGTGCCTATTCAATAGGATTATTAAACTCTATCAATATCACTCAATTTTATATCACTATACACGACTTGCTCATTTACTATTACAATTCATGAGATACTTTTTTTAATAACGAGATACATTTCTTATTGTACAAAATTACTAAACTATATCAGTATTATTCAGTTTTGTTTTATCATCAAACACAACAATTTTAGGCTCAAGGCAAACCAAATTATCAATACGTAATTCATCTAAATTATCAATACGTAGCTAGCGTATTGTTAAATGGTATGCTCAACCTCCCCACTTCGCATGATCCGATAGCCACTGGAAAGTTGGCTATTTACTGGACCTCAAACCACGTAAACCAAGTGGATCTCGTTACTTGGTTGGGCCTGCAACGTTAAAACTAAACCCTCAACTCAGGACCAGTCCATCTGGTCCAGGAAAAGCCAATATACATCAACGATTGTCATTCCCAGGATACGCGGTAATTAGATTGTATCCCTGGATTGCTGGAATGGATTGGTAGATCCATGGATCAGGTAGATTGACTCAAATGGATTGATGGATTCATAAATTGGATCATGTGGATTGATGGAATGATCCATGGATACAAATGACATCCAAGTTTTGGACCAAAATGTAAATTTTGAAAAGTTAATATACTAAAATGTCATAATAATAATAATAAAATAGATATAAAAATGTAATTTTATAATGACGTTTTTGTATACAAAATAAATTTTTAGTTACCAAAATGTAAAATATAAAAAGTATAGGTACTAAATCGTAATTCATCATTTGGATCCATGAATCTCCCAATTTAATTGGATTTGAATCCAATGAATTTGAATTGGTGTATTGGTTTGGGAATTGTCACCTCTAACAACAACTCACAGCGGGATATATATAATACAGAAACCAAAAGCTACCCTTTCGCAGAGAGGCATCGCCGGTAAGAAATCAAGTAAAATCAGCCTGCAATCGTCCTGTTTTCTTGCTCATTGCTTACTTTACAGCCCGATAACACTAAACTTCAGAGCAACTACGAACTCCCCCAATAATTGAATACTCCACCACGGCCGGCTGTCGGTCTCCGGCAGGGATGTTATCACTTGGCGCCATCATATCAACTACCAACCAACACCACACTTTTGGGGGAACAGGATCTTTGGGCTCCAATATCCCATTGTACTCTGCTCAATTTTTTCACTCCGGTCTTAGTTTCCCCCCTGGCTAGATTACAAATAGAAATCAGACCCCCTGAACTGGCCAACTCTAACTACCAAGTCACGGGGGTTAGAATTGAGCCAGATAAAAATGGTTTGTCAAGCTTCAATCATTAATCAAGTACCCCCGCCAGCTAGACTTGATTTTGTGTCCCGTGATGAATTGCCTGCCTAGCTAGAAAGCTGATGATCCGTTCCATGCACCTTGACAAAGACTCGGATTTGGGTTAGCTTTATGAGTGACTCGTGACTCGTGATCAAATTTATCAGCTAGACAAAATGATGACCAAGCTTGGTCCGGATCGGGTTTGAATCAAACTTAATATGATTGGATGCATCATGCATGTGTTGTTTTTGCCCCCGGTGAAATGGAAGATTCAGTATCTTCCCAAGACAGCTGAGGTGATTGAGGAAAGAAGGAGGTTGGAGATGGAAAAGTTAGATCTAAAATACAAAAGGGAATTGATGTGGAAACAAAGATCGAGAATGGACTCGATGAAGCACGGGACAAAAATACCAAGTTTTTCCATGTGAAGGCTTCAACAAGGAGGAAAAGAAACACCATTCAAAAATTAAGAGATGCGAATGGGAGAATATACGAGGGCTTGGAAGAGGTGATGGAATGTTTGCAGAGTATTATCAGAATTTTTTTCGAGTGAATTTTGTAAGTATACCGGAGAAGTTGTTCAGGCTATTACACCGAGGGTGGCAGATGTGATGAATGCAATTCTTACTACTCCTTTTCAGGAGTAAGAGGTCAACATTGCGCTGAAGCAGATGGGGCCCTATTGTTATAAAGTCAATCCTTTCCTATATTGAAGTAGGTTCAATCCATATGGAGCTTAACCATACACTCTTGGTTCTTATTCCTAAAGTGAAGGAGCCATCATCGCCTACGGACTTCAGACCTATAAGCTTATGTAGGATCATCTACAAGTTGATCTCCAAGATATTGGCAAATAGATTGAAGGTGATCATGTACCAGATTATTTCAAAATCTCAGAGCGCTTTTGTTCCCGGTCAGCTTATTACCGATAACATCATTACTGCCTTCGAATGCTTTCATTACATGAAAAATAAAAAGAAGGGGGGAAAATGTGTTCTAGCGAAAAAACTCGACATGACAAAGGCTTATGATAAGATCGAATGGGATTTTTTAGAGAAACTGATGGTTAAATTGGGATTTCATGAGGATTGGATCAGAAGAGTGCTTATGTGAACCAAGTATGCTTCCTACTCTCTAATGGTTAACGGACATCGATCTCAACTCTTTCAACCCTCTAGGGATTTCCGACAAGGAGATCCCCTATCTCCTTATCTCTTCATCCTTTGCGCTGAGGGCCTCTCTGCTCTCATCAAGCAGGCTGAAGCTAGAGGAGAGATTCATGGTGTTAAAGTCTGCAACGGTGCGCCAAAAATCTCGCACCTATTTTTTGCGGACGATAGCTTATCTTTACAGGAGCC